TTTTAAAAAAAAATCTATTATGGGGGCCAGCAGGTGGCGTGGTGGCTAAGGTCTCTGGACTCCCACATGGCTGACTGTGATTCAAGTCCCAGACCTGGCGGCTTGTTCTCTCTCTCTCTCTCTCTCTCTCTCTCTCATTCTCTTGTTCTGTCCCTCTCTGGTCAAATTAAAAATAAATTTAAAAAGTTAAATAAAATAATTCTTAAAAAAAAATCTGTTATGTTCTATTTCTTTAGAGAGAGAGGGGAAAGACACCTCCGTTAGGGTCTTCCGGCCGTGATCCACCCCTGGCCTCAGTCAGTCATGTATGTACTAGCCCAACTTATAAAGGGAGACCTCTGGATGCGAACCCATGTGGGCCCAACATCACAGAGCATTATGTTATTGCTGTACCACCACTGCCAGCCCAATTTTCTTACTGTAGTTATTAGGCACCTATGCTCTCAAGTCAGTATCTAGGATTGACCTCATAGAATTGCGTAAGATTGAGCTGGTTTTATGTATTTATATGTAAAACTCAGTGCAGGGCCTGGCCCATGGCGTATATTCAATAAATGTAATTGTTGGGGGTGGCAAGTGGCGTGGTGGTTAAGGCACTGGATACTCCCACATGACCCACTGCGGTTCAAATCATGGACCTGGCAGCTTTCTCTCTCTTTCTCTGTCTTTCTCTCTCACTCTGTTCCTCTCTGGTCAAATTAAAGTAAATAAATAAATAGATGGATAAATAAAGCTAAATGAAATAATTCTTTACAACGAATGTTATCGTCATTGTTCTTTGAGTATCCCCCGAGCACCAGTCCTGTGTCAGGTCCAAGCCAGGCACTGGAGACACAGAGATGGAGTGGGACAGGTCAGGACGACCAAGTCCTAAACAGACCAGTAGGAAATATGAGAGGAGCTATGGCAGAGGGAAACCGAGGAGGAGAGGACACAGAGACGGAGCCCCCGCCCAGTCTGAGATCAGGGGACCCTTCCTAGAGAGCCTGGGTTGTGTCCCCGGGTTGGGCTGGATACACTCTGATGACACTCTTGGTCTCCCTCAGGGAGGCAGCCTGGCAGTGTCGAGGGGCTGCCTTGAACATGCTGAGCTCCAGGAGAGACCATGAGTAACCTCTAGACAGACCACTCGACCTCAGGTGAGGCTTCACATGGGTTTTCATAGTTTCAAATAATGGTAAGCAGAGTTTTAGTTTAGATTTCTTCTGCCATCTCGAGAACTGGTAGGAATCTGGTCAAAAGCTTCCAAACATCGGGCCCCTGTTTGTTAGTTGAAAAGTATAGGCATTGGAAATAACCGAAATACCCAGTAGTAGGGTAATAATAAAATATGAGGAGTTTTCAAAGAGTTGGTGGGGAAACAGAATTAAAGTACACGTGTGTTTGGTGCAAAAATATTTTGAAGTCTATGCGCAGTTTTTTCATAATACACATTTTCCATGAACTTTTTGGAGATCTCCTCATAGTTAAGTCATAATTACATGAATTGTAGCATATCTCTAAAATTGAGCATGATATAACCATTAATATACTTATGAGAACTTTTAATGGTAAGAGACATGCTTATAAAAATATAAAATAGAAAGACAATATTAGCTCCATCATAAAAACTATAGATAAAATACTGAAAGAAAATACACTTTAATGTTGACAATGTTATTGCTAGTGGATGGGATTATGAATGACTTCTTTATACTTTTTCTGTATTTTAAAAATTTTCCAACATAAGAATATATCTTTTTGTTTTTTCTTTTTTAAGGTTTTTGCCATAGGACACATGCACTTGCTGGAGAGAGAGACAGAGAGAGAAAGAAGGAAGGTAAGGACTCACCCCCCCCCACCACCAGGGGAATGGCCACGTCAAAATCCCTTCTCTTCCATTATCCCCTTGGGATTTTGGCATGCGTGCACATGTGTGTGTGAGCATGCACGCACACACACATGTCCAGTGTAATTTTCTAGCGACTGGGTCCTTGGCTCGAACCTTGGTCAGCCATATGGGAGTCCAGTGTGTTCAGTACTATACCACCTGCTGGCCCCAAGAACATATCATTAAAAACAAAACAAAACGAAAACTAAACTGCTTCATGAAGGTTTCATTCACGTACTACACAGTCTAGCCATTTACAGTATGTGATTCAATGGGGTTTCATGAACATTCACGGATTTGTGTAACTACCACCACAGTCTAATTTTAGAACACCTTCATCATCCTTAAAAGATACCCTGTGCCTACTTGCAGTCAATTCCAGTTTATTTTCTATTTCCATAGATTTTTCTATTCTGGATGTTTCATATAAATGGAATCATATGATAGATGCCTTTTTGTGTCTAGCTTCGATATAGCTTTTTTTTTTCAAGGCTCAACTATGTTGTAGTATGTTTTAGTACTTCATTCCTTTCTACTACCAAGTATTTCATTGTATGAATAGACTACATTTTATTAATTCTTTTATCAGTTGGTGGATATTTAGTTTGTTTCTACTTTTTTTGGTTATTGTGAATAATGCTGTCATGAATATTCTTATACAAGATTTTGTGGAGATATGTTTTAATTTTTTTGTATGTCTCAGGGAATAGAATTGCTAGGTGACGTGATAACTCTATTTAGCATTTTGAGGAGCCATAAAGGTGTTTTTAAAGCTGCTGCACCATTTTATATACCAACAACGTATGAAGGATCCAGTTTCTCCACATTCTTGCCAACACTTGCTGCTGTCTTTTTGACTATAGCCACACTAGTGTGTACAAAGGGGCATCTCACTGTGGTTTTGATTTGCATTTCTCAAATGCCTTATCTTGAACATTTTCATATGTCTGTTGGCCATTTGTATAACTTCCTTGGAGAAAAGTTATTCATATTCTTTGCTCATTCTTTAATTGGGTTGTGTTTTGATTATTGAGTTGTAAATCCTTTATATATTCTGGATACAAGTCTCTTGTCAGATATATAATTTGCAGATATTTCCTTCCATTCTCTGGGTTGCCTGTCTTCCTTCCTTCCTTCCTTTCTTCCTTCCTTCCATTCTTTAATTGCCAGACGGTAAGTGTACTCACCAGAGAGAGACCTCCCAAGGGTTTATGGTCAGGCCATTACCCTTCTTCCTCCATTTACCAACTGGTCAGGATTCTGGGCACACACATGCAGCTGGCATGTTTTTGAAACCACAGGAGTAGGAACTTAGGTTTGCGTATGGGATTTAGTTTCCAATGTGCAGCACTTAACCACTTCACCATAGGACCAGCCCAGTCTTTTTACTTTCTTGATGGTATTATTTGTGGCAAAATTTTTACTTTTGAGGAAGTCCAGTTTTTTTCTTTTGTTGCTTGTGCTTTTTGGTGCTTCATGTAAGAAACCGTTGCCTAACTCAAGGTTATGAATGTTTACTGCTGTGTGTAAAAGTCTAAGAATGTTATGGGTTGTTTTTGTTTGTTCAGTTGTTTTTACATTTAGATCTAAGATCTATCTTGAGTTGAATTTTGCTCGTTGTGGGAGGGAGGGCCCTAAAATGTGTATATCCAGTTGTCTCAGCACCATTTATTGAAAAGACCTTTTATTTCATTGAATGGTTTTGTCATCCTTGTTGAAAAGCAGTTGAGGGAACCAGCAGTTAGCGTAATGGCTATGTCACTGGACTTCCACGTAGTCGACCGCGGTTTGCATCCTGGACCCGGTGGCTTAAAAACTCACGCCGGGCGCGTGTGCGTGCGTACCCAAGATCCCGAGAGGAGAATGGAGGAGAAGGGATTGCGACATGACCGTGTATATCCAGTTGTCTCAGCACCATTTATTGAAAAGACCTTTTATTTCATTGAATGGTTTTGTCATCCTTGTTGAAAAGCAGTTGAGGGAACCAGCAGTTAGCGTAATGGCTATGTCACTGGACTTCCACGTAGTCGACCGCGGTTTGCATCCTGGACCCGGTGGCTTAAAAACTCACGCCGGGCGCGTGTGCGTGCGTACCCAAGATCCCGAGAGGAGAATGGAGGAGAAGGGATTGCAACATGACCATCCACTCTGGGGGGTGATTTCTCGCTTTCTGTCTCTATGTCTCTCTCTGTCTGTCTGGCGAGCGCATGTGCCCTATAGCGAAAACCTCTCCAAAAAAAAAAAAGAGGAAGATAGATGTTGCTGAAAGAAATATAAGGCCTATTTTGTGTTTACTGAGTGATATTTTACAGTATACCTTTTCTTATAAATGAGGGAATTTCTCTCTCCTAAGTTCTGTCCTGGTCATGGTAAAGTTTTTCTTTTATTAACTTCTGATGAATAGTGTGCAGACTATTAACCCAGCAAGGCCTTATCTGCTCCTTGAGTCACTCGGCTGGGCCAGGGGCTCTTTCCATTTAGAGGGTCCCATAGCACCCTAATTTCTGGTTTATTCCTAGTAACATGCTATCATCTCTTCAGTTGTGATCTCTACTGTTTTTATTTTATTTGTGATAGAAAGTATGTGTGTGTGTGTGTGCATGAGAGAGAGATGCTCCTGGCCAGGTTTGTCACACAGTGGCTTCCAGCACCGGAGTTCAGTCTGCTACCAACTGTGCCGAGGCTGGACCTCCATCCTGTTTTGATTGAACATTTCATCACCAAATCACAATTGACTTTGAATATTTATATATTCAGTAAATATTCATTTATATATTATATACATGTATGATTATTGTATACATTAAAAACATACATAAAACAGGCCTAGCTATGATGGTGGTAGGGCATGGCCACGGAAGGCTAGAGCCACATATGAGGCCCAGGTTTGGATCCTAGGCTGGCCTGAACAGACTGGGTGCAGTGGTATGTGCCTGCAGTCCAAGCTAACCGGGGGCTGGGGCAGGGGATTGAGACACCCGCAGACCCTGTCAAGGATACCTCTCTCTTTTTCTTCCCCATCCACACTCTCTTTCATAACAGCAACAAAAATATATACAAAACAGAAATTGTTGAGATAAAACTGATTAAAAGTAGAAGTTTCCCTGAACCTCAATGGCTTTTATCTACGTACCTGGAGACCGATTTCTTGGCTCTTTCCTGTTTACCTCTGTGTATTCCTAGGACCCAGCCAACCAGGGCCTGATACACAGCAGAAGCTCACTGTCTGTTGTTCAAAAGAGACACTGAGATAGCCTGCTATATCTACTAGAGCACGCTGCCTCTATTCCTTGATTTTGTTCCTAGCAGCATGGGCTCTGCATCTGTCTTCTGCTGGGGTTGCTTTTTTGAGAGACTGGCCTTGTCTCCTCATCTGGCCTTGTCTTCTCTTTTATCTTTGGTTGTTTCTCATCTGGCTTATTTCTAAAATAGCAATTATATTATCCTTAGTCTGTGCTCTTCAGTTCACAAGGTGTGGCCCTGTGGAGTCCAAGACGCTGAGACCCTGAAGGATGGAAAGCAATCTCTGATCAGGAGGTGTCACAGTAGGAGGTGAACCAAGAGCTCTTGGGCTTCAGGGAGCTGAGTTTATAGGAGTAGGGAGTCAGTCAAATGGAAAAGAGGGGTGTGCCCTCAGGGCGTCTGAACTGGGAGAGCAAAGGCAGGAACTCGGGAGGGACCAGCACGTCCTGAACTAGGGGAAACCTGGGTGCGTCTGAACACAAGGGGCAAGGGTGGCTGCGGCCGTGTTTTTAGAAGATGACTGGCAGCTCTGCAGGGTGAGTTTGAAGCAGAAGTAGGGGAGGCTGCAGGGTGCCTGGAGAGCAGCGCTCAACTGTGCACTGCCAGAAGCGGGCAAACTGCTCTAGAGCTCCATCCATCAGCCGAATTCCTTTTTAGGCTCTCTCACAGTTATCTTTTATTCTTTTTGGTCCTGGATTGTTGTCCTTTCCCTTCGTCCCCCCAAAACACATGTCTTTGTCAGAAAAGTATCGTTTATTTCCTGGGAATCGCGGGATGCTGTTTCTGGGTTCCCTTTGAGGCCTATGACCAACGAGGAGAGGTTGAGATGTATGGCTGCACCGGTTTAATCAAGCCAGGGCTTGATAAAAGACTCCATCCCACCCCCGCCCCAATTAAATAAAAACTACACATCAGGAGGTCCAGACACACCTCAGCACCAAGTAGTCTCTGGGGTATCAGGAACCCCCTCCCGCCGCCGTGGACGTGTCGGGGCAGGCCTGGTCCCC